CGGTAAATGATTTGTTAGCATTTCAGGCGTTCGATGATTATCCTAAATCATTTGGTGATATCATTCTTAAATATTATGTTTTCAGGGATACTTTAGTATTTTGTCAGGTTGACCGTTAAGAGTTGCTGATTTACAAAATTACGTTTATGAAAAGATAACTGATGAAAATTATGAAAAGATTATGAATCATGTTTATAAATATGATCGCAAATTCCAACAAATCGGACTTCCTGCCAAATTAATTACAAGCTTAGCCGCTACATCTGCTGACGCAACAGTTGATGACGTTATTATTTCATGCATAAAGATGGAAGTTTTAGAGGATAAATGTATTACACCAGGATATGGTTTAATTGAAGAATCAGTTAAAGCAATACCACGTTTATTCAGTAAGGAAGATCCATTCATGATTCCAGCTCAACATATTGACGTTCGTTCACTAAATGGAGGTTGCATCACTCCTGAAGGTATTAGCTCAGATTTCTCATACGCTCTTCATAATGTTACAGATGTTGTGTTAACATTTCCGAAGAATGCAATGCAAAGAACGGTTTTAGAAAATCCAATGCTTCGAGGTCTTCAGGTCACTATAGATTCCAGAAACTTCCCCGATCAAGCGATGACCACAGTGGGTGACATATTCTTTACACGTATGCTTCAAGCTTCTGATTTAGATGGAGTGAATGAATGCACGGAAGAATACGAGGACTCATTAACTAGACCACTGAATGATGATGATGGCAAGCCATTAACTAGAACATGGAAAGACCAAACTTCATTCTTATGCACTATTCCAGTTCAACGTGATGGAGCGGGTATATTCTTTGATGGATTAGAAACTTTCAACCCACAAGTTACAGTACAAGTGAAAGCTTATCCAATCATTCAGGGTGAAAATGACACTTACTGTTCAAAGGTGACAAATCCTCCTCAGGTTTGGTTTACTAGGACTACATATTGGACATGGACACCAGATGAAGGTTTGAAATATCATCCAACAGGTACACCACCACAGTATAGAAGTTCATATGATGAAATATTGATGAATAGAAATGTTTAAAATTATAAATTTATTTTTGATTAAATGGATTTAAATTCATCCACCCCTTATGAAGAATTAGCAGGAGTATCTAATACATACGTAGATGATATGATTAATGAAGCATTGAGTGATAATAGAAATGCTCTATCTAAGGAAAAATTAATGAAAATTCCATATTCTGAATGTTACTTAAATTCAATTACTGCAGCAATTGGTAAACAGAATAAAGGTAAAACATTAACGATATTAAAACAAATTATCATTATTGCTAACACTTCCCCCATTCACATGTGTTAATTATATCAACCGTTCAGGTTCACCTTCAGATGATACATTTGAATCTTTAAAGCATTTAATCAAAATTCCAATTATTTATTTATCACAAGAAGAAGCAGAAGATTATTTAAAAACTTTTTAATGTATAAAGAATTATATAATACAATCAAGAAGCAAGGATTAGAGGATAAAATTATTGATAAACAACGGATGAATTATTTGAAACACTTCTATTTCAAATTTTGATAGAGAATTTTTGCATTCACTCATTTTTCTAGATGATGCAGTGAAATCAAAACTAATAACAAATGAGAAATCATATTTTTAATCAGTTATTAACTCAATGTCGACATATTCAGTGTTCATTCTTTATGGCTGTTCAATACTTCAAAGCATTAAGCACAAACATTAAATCAAATCTATCAACACTTTTCATTTTCAGTGGGTTTAGTCGTCAACAGTTGAACGTTATGCTTTATCAAGTGAATTTACCAATGAGCATTAATGAACTTTACACACAATATCAGCAATTAGGTGAACATGGAAAAATAATAGTTGATTTAAATAAAGGAGGTGTTTAAATTTGATTAACTTTTTTATAATTAATTTTTATTTTTATTTATAATTAAACATGAAGCAGAAATAGCAAATCTTCTACAGGTTCCATTAAAACAAGGAACAAACAAAAAGGGTGCATATAATAGAACTATGAAAAGTTCCTGATGGAATGAAAGAATTAGTTCATATTGTTGCTGGTCTTCAAAAGATGTTAAACAAAATGAGAAATGTTTTAACATTACCAGAAGCTCAAGCATATGCCAAAACGTCATGGTCCAAATTGGGAAGCACATGAAGCAGACATTACGGGTCCAAATGGAAAACCTGATGGTATAAATGAAGTTTTCGTTACTGATGGTCAAGGTAATATTAAAGTCATAAATGGTTACAAATTAAGTATATCTGATTATTCTAAACGTAAAGCATATAATGAACGTTATCCTATGCAATTTGATGAAAATGGAAAAGCTGTTAAACAATACATTGGAGAAGGTGAAAATGGTCCAATTAATTCATACCGTCATAATCCATATTCTTATTTCAATGAAGAATTAAATGCTATTGAAGAGGGACCGGATGGATTACCACGATATTCTAACCAGTTTGATGGTCAATATGCAAATATTAGACCTGAAATTTCAGCTAAGAAATTCTTTAAAGTTGCTTTATTCGATCCAGTTTTCGCAAATGTTAAAGATGAACTTAAACAGCAATTTCAACCAATTATAGTAGCAAGAATTGCATCAGGTGCTTTATCTCAAGCATTCAAAGATTTAATTAAGAAAACCATTATATCAGCAACGAGGTTTAACTTATGATTTAGTTAAGGAATCAGATAAAAGAAAATTTGAGAAATCAGTTGATTATAAGAATGCAATTAATGAATATATTCGGTCTATTAATTTCGATGAAACAGCTAAAAATCAACTTCATGAACAAATACAGGGAATAATAGATTCAAAAGTTCCAGCAAAATAAAAGTTTAAATATATTTTTTTTATTCGAATATAATGAGAAGACGTTTCACTAGTCAAAAGAACACTAACGCAAAAGCAGAGATTACGGTTGGTTATAACGTAAATGATGATAAATCACGAATTATTCAAAATGTTAAAGTTAATGTTAGCCCTGAATTAACAAGGTCAGCAACTCAACCAAATTTATTAACTCGTGACTTACCGAAAAGAGGAGGAGAATGAAGAAAACCATGAGAATGGAGACCCAATCATTTTATCTGAACCGGTAAAGAACCTGTTGAAATTCCCACTTATCCAACATACCCCCACCTCTTTCATCAAACATCGAGAACCCATATAAAATAGACATTAATTCTGAATTAATGAAAATTTACCGTGATATAATAATTAATAATTATGATTCAATAATAAATTTAATTGACCAATCCGGTTTAATTATTTTACCTTATGAATCATTAATTCACATTATCGCCATTCTTTGTGATGTTCAAGATTCAGACGTTAAGATTCAATTTTTCATAGATGATGAGGTTTCATGCTGCGGAACAGTTGCAAAAATAAATCCTATAAAGGATATTAGCACAATTAAGATATCAAAGAACGGAACAACAACTGAACTTCATTTAACATATAATGATATTTATAATAAAATAGTTGATGAATATAAAATATCACTTGAAAAATTCTTTGTTAAGGCTATTTAATATTCAAGCATTAACATTATCGAATAATAATCCTTTGAATCATAATCAATAATAATTGACCTTTCACCAGTTTCTATCGTTTGTTTTATTTCTTTTTGTTCCCCACTATCCGGATCGGTCATTGTAATTGTTTTTGTTATAGTATCAGCTTTATCTTTAACTTCAATCTTTTTTCCATCGGGATATTTAAACCAAAATTCCAAAAATTCGATATTGTCAATCTGTTCATATTTTAATCTATCAATTACATTTTTAATACCATCTGAAAATCTTATGAAATGGTCATTATATGGGTTTGATTGAACTAAATTTGAATGAAGTGAAATATAACCTGTTGATGAATATGACATCGACTCATATTTTCTGAAAACACTAAAATTTATAACATGAATGAATTTCTTATTCGTTGAATTTATGAATTCTTGAGGTAATCTTATTCTAGTTTTATTTATCACTGGAAAATAACGCTTTACCATATTTTTAATCGTAATAAAAATGTCAATTATCAATATTATTTCGAATAATAACTGTGAATTAAATTTAACAGTTAGCGGAATTTATAATGTTACTCTCGTTTCTGTGAGTGGTAAATTTAATCCCATTCTTTTAGACCCTTCAGATTATATATCATTTATTAAAGATGACCATGAAAAAACGTATGATATGTATATAAATAATGTGATAGCGAAATGGGATATTAACATGATTTTAAGTTATTTAAATGAATCATTTATCGTATGGTATGAAGAAAATTTTAAATCAAAACCTGATAAACTTTTTGAACTTGATGAAATAAATAACCTTATTAAATTTCCGCTGAAAATTAAATTTTGTACTCCTCATCTTCGTTCATTGTTGGGGATATTAAATTTTGAAAAAGATGTTGGGGATGTTTTGTATTCTGACACTGGTTCCAATTTCATTTTAATCAAATGTGATAAAGTTAATACCCCAATGAGATTTTCACATCAAACATTAGACCCTAACTCTTACCCATCAATACAAAACATTTTATCCATCAACTTAAACACATTTTCTTTATCATATCCGTTTCAATTATCCGGGAATTCATTTATTCTTCATTCAAAAGATTTATCAAATATTAAATTTAGAATAACTGACCTATTTGATTGTGATTTAGAATTTATGAATGAAATATTATGGCAATTTCAAATAGAAAAAATAGCTGATGAGATAACGGATTAAATATTTATTTTTAAATCATAATAAATGATTAAACAACAGCAACCACAGCAACTTAAGGCGCAAAGCGCCCAGGTCCTTCAGACCATTACATACGCCATATATGCATATAATTCAAAGACGGCAGAACAAACGCAAAGGTTGAAATATGGAGATTTGGAGATAGTATTGAAAAATGACCATTTCGAATTCGTTTGCAAAGGTGGTGCAGTGATATCAAATATAAAAGAAATTTTATTTATGAATTCAAAAATTAAAGGAATAACGGATGATATAACATCAATTCCACCAGAAGAACAAAGATATTACGCATTAAATGCATTTCCTAAAGTTTTGAAGATTGGAAGATTTAATTTAAATGAGGAATTCATAAAAGGTTTCCTTAATGACATAGAGAAGAAGGCAGATAATGAATATGTCAACAGTGAATTAATGAAGAAGGCAAATTTGGTTTATGTTGATGAAAAAGATAATGAAATTAAAGAAAGGGTTGAATGGTATCATGAATGGACATCAAAGATTTTAAAAACTAAAGCTGATACAGGATGGGTTTCAGGATGTTTAGACCTTAAAGCAGATAAAACTTATGTTAATGGTGAGTTAGAGAAGAAGGCAGATAATGAATATGTCAACGAAATATACCAAAGTTTGATAGGAACAACTAAAAATATTGAAACTATTGTTGGTGACTTTTCTGTCAATGAAGAAAATAAATATTTTAGATGGCAATTGGTACAGTCCTTAAAAATGGTGCACGGTGTAAACTCATTCCGAAAAATAACAATGAAATGTATGTAAGCTATATAAAGAATAATGGTACACAAGTTAAAGTTCCATTAGACAACAACTGCTACTTAAACTTATATGGAGACGAACAAAAGAAATATTTAAGAGTTTATGAAATGACAGATATGACATTGCCTCACCCAGCTCCAGCACCATATTATTATGACTATGGAGATGACGACAGAACACCACATGTAGATGAACAAAAGCTAACATTATATTTAGATTATTATAGATATAAAAGATATAATGCAATAGAAAAAACGAGAATAGTATATTATTATACAGATGACAAAAATAAATATTATAGTCAAGATTTTACCTACCCTGAAAACATAAGATTATATTATAAAAAATATTCTGACACAAACCAGAAGAAACCTGAAATAGTTGCACTATATTTTAAGTTCAAAATAGACAATCCTATATTATCTCATATGTTTGATTTAATGAACCCAGTAGGTTCTATTTATACATCTATGGATGCAAGAGGTCCTCAAGTAATGTTTGGTGTTGGTGCATGGGAACAGATTGTAGACAGGTTTTTGTATTGTGCAAACTCTTCAAAGGAAACAGGTGGAAGTAAAACAATTTCAGGTGAAAATTTACCTGCACACAGTCACTACATAGATTTAAGTACATCTCAGGCAGGTTGGCATAAGCATAGATATTGGGATTGGTCAGGAATGACAAAAGGTAAAGGATATGATGTTAAAGACGACGTTAAGTTTGCTATAAATTGTTACTGGAGTGACACTCAGGGAGAAGGAAACCATACACATTTCGTTTCAGGATATACACAAACAACGGGACAAAGTAAAGAATACATGCCACCTTACATGACAGTTTACGCATGGTATAGAGTTCAATGAATCATTTATTTTTATCATAAATTTACACCAAAAATAATTTTTAGGTGAAGAGGTGAGATCTCACCTTTTTTTCACCTCTTTTTTCACCCTCACCGCTTAGCGGCTCAGATTGCTTTAGCTTTCTCGTGAATTTTCATGAATTTACTTAAGATAGAAAAATAAAGTTAGTTTTATTTTTATTTATTTTTTATTTTGTATAAAAGATATGATTTCAACAATCGGCACAACAACAATTCAAACAACTACAGCACCAAACTCGCTAGTCATGAATCCTACGTCAATGTTGGTAGAGATGAAAAGCTTTATTCCTTCTTCATATACTTTTGAAACAGAAATCCAGAAGATAAAGCAAGAACTTTTAACAAGTAATTTAGACTGTAGTGCGAAAGATGAAACAAATGAACAGTATCTTTATGAAATGCAGGACATTATTGACCATTTACCCAAATTGCCTGAAATCCAACAGCAAAAACTAACTATTCCTGAATTCGACGAAATAGAAGTGAAACCAACTGACTCAGTAGAAATAAAGAAATTCATACGTAAAGTAAATTATGAGTTTCTAGGATATCATTGCAACCATAAAGTTATGGACAAAGATTGCGACATGGTTTATAAAAATATTTCTGACATATATAAATCGGTGGAGTTTAAGACATACGATAACTTTGTTTCATTAGTTGCAAAATGTGTTTGGGAAATAAGAGATAAAGATAGAAGAGGTAAGGTATGGCATGAACAGTTAAAACCAGCAGCTTTTGAGTTAAAGAAAACCATTGACGCCTTAGTTGTTCTAGCGGGTTTTATTTCAATGTATAACGCAAAAATGAATCCGCAATGTTCAAAATGTAAAGCAGCAATAAGAAAATATAACTACTCAGTCAAAGAGATAGAAAGAATGCGAAACGACTATGCAGACTTAAAGAAAGAAGCAGAAAAGCCAGCAGAAGATAAAATGGATATGTTGACATTTCTGAACAAAAACTATCCAACTGCAGAAGATTTCCTTCTGTCTGACGTCAAGAAGAAATATAAAGAGACTTTCGGCATGATTAAAACATTCGATGTACTAAAAGAAGAAATTGAAGCTACGAAATTGTTTAGGATTTCAAATATACATCGTACAATTCATGTAAAACGCTTGTGAAAAAAGAGGTGAAAAAAAAAGAGGTGAAAAAAAAGAGGTGAAAAATTAGGTGAAAAAAAGGTGAGATCTCACCTCTTCACCTAAAAATTATTTTTATTGAATTCAGCACAAAAATAATGAATAAATGCCATCCTCCTATGTTGTTGTCAAAATGTCATGTTGTCACATTTTTTCAGAGAAGTTGAATTATCTGGTGACCTGGTGACCCGGTGACCCTATCAGTTCTTCAAAAATAATGAATTTCATTAGTTAGAAAAATAACGCTAATTTTATTTTTATTTATTATTTTGTTTTGTATGTAAAGACAGTAATGACAAACATTGAGTTTGAAACAGTTAGAAAGATAGACAATGACACCAAAGTGGTTAGAATAGGTGATTTAAACGTAAGATACTCAAAGAAATACAACAAATATTCTTTGTCAGACATTATATCTCCATCTGGAAAGAAAACAAACGACTGGGTTAGAAATGCTTCAACTCAGAAAATTTTGACAAGAAATCCTGAGCTTATGATATCAGTAGCATTTCATGGAACAAGAGCATATCTTATAGACAAAAGTCTTATACCAATAGTTTTGTTATGGTTAGACCCAGTTGTTGGATATAACTTCATAACATATGGTTCATTCGATACGGAACGTTGCAGTGAAGGCTTACTTTACATCGTTCAGAAACCGAAGGACTTCAACACAAAAAGATATAAGATAGGAAGACATATAATATAACTCAAAGATATGACAGTACAGTCAATAGAGTCAAGGTTGTGTTTGTTAATGATATGAGAGCTGCTGAAACAGAACTGCTTGAAGTTTTTGAGAAAATGTATGGTGCTCCCACGAAAGGTAAAGAAACGTTTGAAGTAGATGAGATAGATAAAGCTATAAAATTATTTGACGAAGTTGCTGAAAAATACATGTAAAGCGTTTATTTTTGGTCTTTTGTGAAAGTCAGAAAATAAAGTTAGTTTTATTTATTTTGTATGTAAAGACAGTAATGACAACATCAGAGAACACAACAACAGTTATAGTCCATGAAGCCATAAATGAAGAATACGAGTACATACAGTATAACAAACAGTTACGTCTCATTCGTTCAGTCAAAGCAACCAAGTGAAGAGATTCCGTATGAAAATCGCAAGAATTTGGCTCCTGGTTTGAAAGGTTATTATGTTCATAGACTTTTAGTAAACACTGTAGCAATGTGGGCTTCACCAAAATATTGCATAGCAGTTGGAAAAATTATGGACTCCATAGACAAGAAAGTTCATGAGAAGTTAGATGAAGAAGAACTCGAAGATACAGTAGAGAATGCTAAACATTTGTTTGAAGAAGAAGTTGGAAAAATGTGTGAAAAACAGAGAAGATGAGGAATAAAAATTAAATTTGGATTGAGTTTAAAAATTCATCTTTATTAAATTCATCTCTTCCAATCAATTTATTTATTCTATTAAATTCTTTTATTTTTGCTTCACTCAGTTTAAGGATTGAACGGTAAGTTTTTAATTTTTCGATTATTTCTTTATCGTTTTCAACCCCACCACATTGCTGCTTCTTTTTGCAATAGCATATTTTTGATTTAATTCTGTTTAGTTTCTTTTTATATTCATCGTCTGGACTCTTGGTTGCTTCGTTGTCACTCATTTCTTACGAAATAAAAAAAAATTAAATGTTATTTAAATATAATGGAGTAATAAAATAAATCGGAATTTCTATTAATTTATTGTTAACCTCAAATAATACATTACCGTTAATATTCTAACAAATTCAGCTATTGTGTCAAATCTTCGTCTTCTTTTGTCATTGATTTATCAGTTTTTCCATAATCGAGATGAATCAAAACTTTATCCCCTTGTTTAAAATTCATGAGCCCCGAATTAATTTGTTCACGTTTAACATCATTTAACCTTTCCATTTGCTTTCTAATATATTCCCATTCTTTTGAAATATCATTTTTCATTTCCACCGGTTTCATGTTTATACTTCTATGCCATGTATTATTGTAATAATATACTAACTGCTGTATGATGGAGTCATGATTTCCATCCCAGTATATCTGACCGTTAACCCCTAACGCATCTCTAAGAGTTCTCATTACTGCATCAACTATTTTATTATGAAACGTATATGGAGAGGATGAAAAGTAAAAATTAATTTGTGGGAAATAATGAGCCATAGCTGCCCGAAATCCTTTATCACTATCACCCCTGATATTATCTACTCTTTCATGATCTAGTAAGTATTGAATAGCTCTTCTTGTTTCCTGTTCTGTTTTCCCTTTCACCGGAATGCAATATAAATATCTAGTGTTAATGTTAATGGCAAATAAATAAGTAACGTTTCCTTTTGAATATTCTAAATGATCGATTTCGTATGAATATGGATATGGTGCAAATGAAGGGCGACCAAATTTTTCCTTTAACGGTTGAATTTTTGGGTCAATTGGTTTATTTAATATCTTGAAATCCTTTTTAAAATCTTTTTGCTTCTTTAATGTTTGAAATGGATATAATAAAGTGAATGATGAAGAATTAACTGAAGGAGGAGGAGGTACTACTGTTGGAGGTTTTTGGGGTTGCAAGTGGTTTAATTTTATCTGCTTTGATTTTTGGATTTCATTCCTCCTTTCATTAATTCCGGATGTATTCTATTCATTTGTTTTAAATATGCTGTATATAAAGGTTTGATATACTTTCCCGCTTCGAGTTTATGTTGAAGGATGAATTCCAAAAGTTGATCTTCATTTAAAAGTCGGGCTGAATGTGGTTTAACTAATGAATCATAAATTAAAGCTTGTGCTTCATTTATGGTCTGAATGACCTGGGCGTTTTGCACTTTTAGCTTTTGTTCCTTTGTTTTTTGCAGCTCAGGATTATATAATTATATATAATTCATCAATATCTTCTTCTGTTAATACTTTATTTTTGAAATCTTTCAATTGTTTAAGTTGTGATTTAGTTTTTCCCTTTGATATTCATTATTTTTAATTTTGTCTTTAATTTTAGAAATTATTTTATCATGATATTTCAAAATTTCATTTTTATAATGTGGCCAATAATAATCCATATCATCACCCGTTATATTTTCATCATATTTTTGGAGATATGCTTTTAATTCATAATAAGTAAGAAAATTTTGATTAAATACTAAATCATCAATTAAAATTTTTAAATCTACATTATCCATTTATATAAAAATAAAATAAATGTTTTAAGGGCGCTCACCTCTTTGATCAAGAATCAAAACCATCATTAACGGTTCCTTTTGTCTCTTCTGTGGCATTTTATTAAAATTTTAAATTGTATTAAATAAACGGCATACAACATCCATTTTCACAACATACAGCCTTAGTGTGTGCTCCTGTTAATGCAGTCTTACCAATTGTTAAGCGAGTCATTGACCGTCCTGTTTTTAAGTTGTAAATTAATATTCTGACCATCAAATATCACTTTATCATTTATTATATCCAAATAATTTTTAGGTGTTAATTGTTTATTTTGTCGTAAACTAACACCTTTCATTTTTTGTGCAATCTTTTTAAAATCACCTCCATCAATTGAACCGTTGAATGATGTATAACACTTGGGGCATAAAGCAACCATGTTATCACCTTGTTTCTCAATTGCTAAACCCAATAACTTCTTCTCATGTGCTTTTTCTTCAGCTTTATTCTTTAATTTAGGTTTAAATTTCTCATCAAAACAGAAGAAATCAAATGGTGCGAATTTGAAAATGTTTTTATCATAAAATTGTTTATCGGTAACAATTGCTTGAAATGCTTGAGTGTTAGGAAGATTTGGATCACCAGCGATTGCCCAATAAGATGAATCAGTATCACCTTCAATGAAATGAAAACGATTAACATTCATGCATTTATACATAAAATCATAAATGAAAACCAAATACCAGTATTTAGCATTATCTAAAGTGAAGAATGCCTCTTGTAAACATGTATCACATCTATAAAATCTATCTTTGAGCATCACTTGATACGTATCCTCTCCTATTTCTCTTATGTTTTTAAACTTATTTGACATACATGCAACGCGTGCCTTCTGTGCATTCATTATTTTAGTCTTTGTGTAATTTTGTGTATTCATTGCATCGTAACCATATGATCCATTAAGTGAAATCTTGCAAAATAAACTTTTTCCTTTATTTCCTTCTAATTCAGCCTTTTGTCTTTCGTTCATAAATTTGTTCGCAAATTCATTAAAACAAGTGTTTTTAGTAAATGTTAAAATTGATTGAATGTCATCAATGATAAAATGAAATCTGTCTATTAGATACCAAAGATAATAAGAAGAAAATGGTTGATATTGGTTGTGTGTTGATGCTAACTGAGTTAATTTTCTCTGTTTCTGGTCAACTGGTAGATTGTTTGATTTCATGTAATTATACATAAAACCACCAATTGTTTTTTCATCTGTGATAATATCTAAGTTTCTTATTATCGGTAAAAAGTTTATGTAATCATTAATGTATTTTTCATCAATGTGACCCTTTACTTCAGCCACGAATAAAGTATTTTTCTTCTTAATTATTCCCAGTGCTTTTGCTTTCTTTGTTGCTGTATCACAAATGATAACACCATTCAATCTTCCCGGCATATACATTTTATGGTCAGTATATTGAATGAAATCATGAGGATTAGATGAAAATGATGAAGGATATAATGAATTAAAATCAACACCAACGAAATGAGTCATAATGTTGGTGTGTCCTCATTTGATACAGTTTTAGTTTCTGGATTATATGAAAGTTTATTAATGTGCGTGATTCCTTTAAGATTACTCTATGTTGAACATTTGATAGACCACCAGTAATTCCATTACGGAGAATGTGATAAGCTTCAACTGAATCTAAAGTCATTGGTAAATTATTTTTTAATGCATAATTTCTTAAATTGATTCTTAAACGTTGAACATCTTCATCTTTATTTGATTTTACGACATTGCAATAACAACACATTAACTGACAATTTTCTTTGGTATGTGGTTTTTCATTATCGATTCTATCTAATGTTGGTTTATTTGCATATGTAAACGCTTTACCACACATTTTGCATTTAGATGAAAGGATTAAATCGTGATAGTATTGAAAATCATCCATTGAAACATTATTTTTAGTATCTCTTTCTGCTTTTTCATCTTGTTTCTTATATGATTCAATTTTATATTTCCAATACTTTTTCGTTAATTCAAAACTTGATTCTATCTCTTCCTCAGGATATTTTTCATTAGGATTAAAGTCTTTATATGCTAAAGCGTAACGAATCATTGAAGCATTCGATGATAAAGAAAGATTATGAAGCATATCAATTTTATAAACAAATGTTTCTTCAATAATTTTATCATTGGGTCAATCATAATTTCAACATCTTTATTGCAATAATGAATAAAATATTCTAATCTATTCTTAAAATTTTTAGCATCATTGAGATATATTTGATAATCACTATCTGATATAGTTTCTTGAGTTAATGCTGAATAAAATGAATCTTGTGAATGGTTCCACTTTATATAATTCTTCTTCGTAATTTTCCCATGTGATGAATTGATAAGGGAAAAAGGATTTAACACGTGATTTATTGTTTCCGAAATCTTGAGTGAATTGGTCTAATGTCCCACCCGCTATATAATTTCTGATGTCAATAAATCTCAATTCATATGGAACGTTTGTTTTCTTTACAATGATTTGCTTAAATTGTGAAGATGAACCCAGCATTGATTTTATTTTCCATTTTGCAGTGTTTAAATCACGAAGAATTAAATTTAAATCAAACTTTCCCGAATTAAAACCTATGATATTCACTTTATTGAATTCCTCATCTAGAAGTTCTTTAAATGCTTCCTTCTGTTTTTCATTTAATGTATGAGACAAAGTCCCCACCGTTTGCGGCTTCAATAATTCTTCATATTGTTCAATATTTGATTTAGCAACTAATGAACAGGTTGAAAATAAAAACTCAATCCAATCAGAAATAAAAGAATCACTCGAAGTTAAGCAAAAATTCCTCGTATATGTTTTATCGTTTAATTTAACCGTTGATGATACCATGAATGGTTTTAAGTAAGCGTTCAAAGTTGCACACTCAGAAAGTTGTAATTCTTCTTTAGTCTCTAATGTTTCAAAGTCAAAAGTAATATAATATCTTGTCGGTTTATAATATTCTGCAAATTGTGAGCTAATAACCACTGATATATCTTCTGTTTCGTAATATGTGGTGCATATGGTTGCTGTGTCTTTTGCAATTGAACGTCTTGAATTAATCTTCCATTATTTTCTTTACATTTCTCACAATGCTTTAAAAATCTTCTTTGGTTTTTCCTTTCTGGATCATCACGGATAGAATAAACTTCTTCTTTACAATATGGACAAACTTTATAGCCGGTGAGTGCTTCAACGTCTGTTATTCTGTCAGCGTGAAGTTTTCCACATGGACTCTGTGTTAATAAAATATTTACTGTTTCAAATTCTGGATCTATCATTATTGATTCCACTAATGGAAAGTCTACCTTATTTATGTCCACGTCTTCTGGTTGAGGATCACAATAATAGAAATCAATATTAACATTTAACATTCTCGCTAATCTCTCACTTTCTGATGAAATGTCAAACCCTTCATATGCATCTATTGCTTCATTTAAATAGCTTCTACGAGTTTTAGGATTAACACCATCAGGAATGTTATAGAAGCGTTTAAATAACCTTCTACCTTCTGCTCTAATTTGATTATCATTCATTTTAGCTGTTCCGTTTTTGTTCATTTATGTAAGAATAAAAAATAAATAAAAATAAACTTTATTTTTTAAAGCCCATAAAATGAATTAAGAACACATAAATTTTTATCATCCGCGACGTGACGAATACATTTTAATTTACTCAAGAATGTGTACCCTGATACATTAAATCTAATTCCTGTCTTATTTAATTTCACAACTTTGAAAAGGAATGTATGAATAGCTATAAAATGATGAGAAGATGTTTTATGGGTTGCTTCCATTTTTTCTGAAATAAATGAATAAATATAATGTTTATAAGTTTTCATATCTTTTATGTTCTTAATAACGAATGGTATAGACCTTTCAACTTCGTCTTCCTTCGGTGCTGTTCTTTCATATGAAACATTATTGGTATCTTCAACAATGAAACCACAATCACACAAAATTTTATATGTTCCAATGGTTTCTTTTGATATTTTATCTAATAAATCAAAAACTTTATCAACACCTGTGCATTTATTTAAATAATAATTTGTGTAAATATCATGATCTTCTTTCTTAATCGTATTAGTTGCATATGTCACGTTTTTAAGAGCTTTTTTGAATTTTTCGGAATCTAAAGGTGGTGAAAGTAGGATACAGGGGTATTCTTCATTATCAATAAATTGTAACTTATGTTTACGAATAAATTTAGTACCTTCTTCTGAAAGTGTTTCGTCTATTTCACCATCTAATAAATTTTGTGTTGATTCTGAGACATAATTTTTATATCTTTCTTCATGAGATTTCTGAACTTCTGATTCTGAAGCTGGGATATTCATTAAACCCTCTACTTCATTTTCATTATATTTTTCAACTTCTCTTAATTCCTTAATTTTTTCATCTATTTCATCTTTTATTTTTTCCAGTCTTTCAATTTCATCGTATTCATCATCTTTAATTCGTTCTTCATAATATTCGGGGAAAACATCAGGTTCTTTAGGTTTTTCTTCCTTTTTAGATGCGGGATATAAGAAATTTATAACATCATCTTTATTCATTTTTCCATCATAATCAAACTCATTTAAAAACTCCGCGAATTTTTGACAATTTCTTAAATAATATTTATCAACCTCATAACCTGCCTCCTCTAATATATCCTTTATTTCCCTGTTTGTGAATCCTAATTTTTTAACGTCGTTAGTCTTGACACTCATTTCATACAAAATAAAAATAAAGTATTCAAAAAATGTAAGACATGAATTTTTAAAGTTTATTTTACTCATTCATGACTCCATTGATTCCAATCAGTTATTCAAAAATAATGAATTATTGAATAACCTGACATCATCTATATATAGCTTCTTTTATGTATGAATTCAAAACCGTAAGAATAAAAACCGTAAGAATCATACATTTTTTTTTAATGATTTATTCAAAAACGTAAGAATAAAAAACGTAAGAATCATACGTTTTTTACTTCATATGTCAAAAAAAATGATACAAAATCGTTCAATATTGTAAGAATTCTTACGTTTACAAAAAAAGTCACATAACCCATACATAATGAAATGAAAAAAAATTAACATTAATTAAATCCTGAATGGAATCAATGAAGTCATAATCAAAGACATTAAAAATTCATGTCTTACATTTTTGAAAATTTTTTAAATCTTGATTTATTCAAAAACGTAAGAATAAAAAACGTAAGAATCATACGTTTTTTACTTCATATGTCAAAAAAAATGATACAAAATCGTTCAATATTGTAAGAATTCTTACGTTTACAAAAAAAGTCACATAACCCATACATAATGAAATGAAAAAAAATTAACATTAATTAAATCCTGAATGGAATCAATGAAGTCATAATCAAAGACATTAAAAATTCATGTCTTACATTTTTGAAAATTTTTTAAATCTTGATTTATTCAAAAACGTAAGAATAAAAAACGTAAGAATCATACGTTTTTTACTTCATATGTCAAAAAAATGATACAAAATCGTTCAATATTGTAAGAATTCTTACGTTTACAAAAAAAGTCACATAACCCGCACTCATATACTACTAATTATTGATGTCGGAACAAGACATTCATCCAAATAAATTTAGCGAACTGCGAAGTATATATAAATACTACATTGATTCATATATTGCGTTGTATCAGCTGAAAACGGACAAAGAAGAAGAATTAAAAGAAATTTACAAAAAGATCCAAAATAAACTTGATTGATTCAAAGAAATACCCACCAACAAAGATTATGGAAGATATTTTAAATATAATTCCGTATAATAATCGCTATACAAAGTCATATTTATCTCTTGCCAAACTCATATCTGATGATTACCATGTGGAAGAGGCCTACGAAGCGAAATCTATTTCAAACTTCCTGTTTTATAAAGAATATGGATATAAATTAGACAATTCTATTACTTACGGAAGACTTGACTCAGAAAATTTAGACATTCATACAGAAAATACGATTTACAGAGCAATTATGTATAATGACTTAGAAAGATTCATATCATTCACAGAGATAGAAGATTTTGATAAAGATCAAACACTTAACAGTAGTTTATATCCAGATTCTTACGAAGGATATTCATTACTTGAATTATGTTGTTACCATGGAGCAGTTGATTGTTTCAAATTCTTAAGAACGAAATTCAGCTCAGAAATAACAGAAACATGTCTTAGATTTTCATTTTTAGGAGGAAATCATGAAATCATGAGTGAATGTTTGAAATATCAAACACCAAATGAAAAATGCATGGAATATGCAATTATTTCACACAACATAGATTTTGTTACATTCTTGATGAATGAATATAATTTAGAGATTGATTTAGATTATTGTGGATGGTATTGTAATCTAGAATCATTTTTCGTATATTTCGATCAAACTAATGATATTGACGAATGCTTTATTAATTCGGCGATGTTTAATATTCCATCTCTTTGTGAATATTTCCTATCAAATGGTATAAATATCAATGAAAAAGATAATAGTGGGAAAACCGCCCTTCATAATGCAGCACGTTATAATTGTAAAGAAACAGCCGAACTTCTTATTTCACATGGTGCAAATATCAATGAAAAAGATCAAGAAGGAGAAACTGCTCTTCATATTGCAGTAAAATATAATTGTAAAGAAATGGCCGAACTTCTTATTTCACATGGTATCAATATCAATGAAAAAGATATTAACGGACAAAATGCTCTTCATTGTGCAGCATGGAATAATAGAAAAGAAACAGCCGAACTTCTTATTTCACATGGTATAAATATCAATGAAAAAGATAATAATGGAAAAACCGCTCTTCATTGTGCAGCATGGAATAATAGAAAAGAAACAGCCGAACTTCTTATTTCACATGGTATAAATATTAATGAAAAAGATAATAATGGAAAAACTGCTCTTCATTATGCAGCATGGAATAATAGAAAAGAAACAGCCGAACTTCTTATTTCACATGGTATCAATATCAATGAAAAAGATAATAATGGGAAAACCGCTCTTGATATTGCAACAAGTAATATTAAATCTCTTATTTCACATAGTGTAAATATTAATGAACAAAATATTGATCATTAAGGCTGCACTTACACCCATCTGACTTTAATTCAAATTTTTAATAACTGGCGTGAATCCTTAAGGGTGCACTTACCACTTTTTGACATGCTCTTTTAAAATCAATATATCTTTCTTTTAACAGCATAAATGTATAGTCGTCATATTAGGCGCTATATAACGATTTACAATTACTTTTTCCCGACCGAAAATATTAACCTTGACCATCGAAAATTGGGTAATAAAGCTTGAGTGTCAAAAAAATTGAGAAAATGTCAAAAAGTGGTAAGTGCATAATTAAGTAAAAAAGATTTTTTTATTAGTTATATCTTGAGTGCCCTATAATACATATAAATACTAATCTATCATTTTCGGAAAAAGCATGTTAGTTTAAGTAAAAAAGATTTTTTTATTAGTTATATCTTGAGTGTCTTCTATGATGAGAACTTCTTTGTCCTCTGTGTGGATGTCTTTCAGGATATGTCTGTCTGACGAGTTCTTCTTCAACATCTGGTTCGACAAATTCGTCAGAATCGTGTTCGAATTCAGAAATAAATCTTGAATCGTCATAACCGGCCACGAGGCCACCAGCAGCGTTGTAGATAGCGTTGATAACGATATCCAAGTTGTTTCCGAATCCAAGAGTTTGTCCTCTCTGCAAAATGTATTCTTCAGCAGAAGCTCTATCAGCTGGCAACAATTCGTCGAGATCCTGGAGGAGATCTACCATGTACTTGAGCTCTAGAGAGAATCTGAAGGTGGAAGCGTTAACAGTTATGTTTGAATTTGAGAATTTCTTGATTCCTTCAAGAATTCCGTAAACTGTTGGTGCGGAGTAAAGGAGATAATCTGGGGACTTATCATTCTTCGGGAAAATGTTGATCTGTGGCTGGAAAACTAATCTTGGGAAATGATCCTTGCAAGAATTGAGAGTTGTGATGATATATCCAACCTTTATGTCCTGGATATTATTCTTCTTCACGTATTTGGCGATTTTATGGGCAGATCTTAATCCATCTTTGTCAGATCCGATGTAGAACATAACAACGTCGCAATTCTTATCAGTAACGAACTCTTCGTAATTAGATCCGACTACTTTGATCGCGTATGGATCATCCTGCTTCGTAGGGACTTCTTCCGAAGGATAAATTACATCTATCCTTTTGTTGGCGCAATCGGATACGTGTTGTTCAATGTTAGCATCGAATGGTTTAACTGGGAAGTAGACGTAGTATTCCATTGAAAGAAGAAGGAAACATGGGAATTGTCTTGTTTTTCCTTTTGTCATGATATGAACGTCATCGAGTTCTTCATTGTTGATGATTCCGAAGGTTAAATTGTCGTATTTTGTACCGAGATCGGCCAATTTCTCTTTTTGTTCTTTTGTAGCAGATTCTTCAACGCAAAGAAGGCCAACAAAGCCTTCGATGTTCTTAAGAAGTTCCATATCGAACTTAGGATAGAAGGATGGACGTGTAGCAGCTAAAAATTCCTTATGATCTTTAACTTCTTTGATAACTTTGTCACTCTTGCGGTAGATGCAGATCTTCTCGCCACTGTAGCCCATGGACTTGAGTGTTTCTGGTGTTGCAGCAATGACATTGAAAGATCCAACGTTATCAGCAACAGAAACGACGTAATCGCGGCCTTTGGATACGAGAGCTGGTGGAGAAATGAGAGTGTATGCTGTCTCACCGAATGCGGAGTAGACCTGCTGCTTATCGTTAAATGTTGGTAATGTTGGGCGAAGGAAGACGTCAACTGCGGCCAAAAGCTCAACTTCAGTTGAGGGGAATGGTATGGAGTATGAAAGTTCACCGCTAACAAAGAAAGAGACTTGTGGTAAGTAAGTAGCGTATTGACGAGTTAATCTCTTGGCTTTATCTGATTGAAGAGCACAGAATTTGACATCTTCTAAGAAAATAGTTGGTAATTTGGAGAATTCATCGATGTAAGCATGAACACCATCAGCGGACATGTTGATAAATAAGGCAACAACTAATTGGTGGCGTTTAAGAACAGCACCAAACTGTCTGTCTGTATAGGAATCGAATATCATGTAAGCTGTTTCTGAGTATGGAACATAAGTGCTCATACATAATCCCAAAAAAACAGAGAACATTTTACAAATTTGTCAGATCGTCTCAATTCATCGTCAGATTGACTCAATTAAATTGTCAGATGTGACAATTTGATATCCGAAATCTTTAAATCAGCTGATTCTATATAATTTGGACTAACCTTTTTATGGCATAGAATTATCCACCAGATCCTCGATTTTCATTCATCAAACATTAATTTGAACTGATAATATTGTTAATACAGTTGACTATGAAGTCAGGTATCATAAGAAAATAGTATTGATAATATGTCCATCCTTTTATTTTAAATTTGATTTGGACAATTTGAAGAATAATAAGTTTTCTTTGCCCTCTCTTCTAAAATTAATTACCTTATCAGTCATCCTAATGATTATGAGTTTAATTCTTTAATATTGATCAATTTATAATTTATGACATGTAAATAATTTGACATTATTTTTTAGAAAATAAAAAAATAAGAAAATGAAAGCTATTCCACCACAAGAATTCAAGTCAAAATGTAGATTTGAAGAAGAAAAATTGAATGGTATCACAGATTTAACAGTAATGATAAAACATGCGCTTGATTTGGCTGATAATTTATGTTATGTTACAACTCTCAAAGACTACGAGCTAAACCATTCATCATTCCTTCCGTACCTTCAAGTTTTGCATAAGGTTCTTGATAGTCCAACGTATACACAAGAAATTCTGAAAAAAGCTTACTTATATTCAATGTCATTTCGTCATATTTTACCAAGACTTTACATATCTATGGTCATAGCTTCATTACTTGAAGATACAACTTACCTATCAAATGTTTGTTCCATGTTAATTTCAGAATGTCAGCCATTACAAGGATTGATGCTTCGTTTTACAGCAATTTCGTTTTTTCCATTAAATTCACCTTTACTTGCCCAGTTTTGCGTTACAAATTTTAATGAAATGTTATATTTGACAAAAGGATTCCTAGAAACATATCCAAATGAAATAAAAACAGCAGCAGGCTGGATATCATCAAACATATCAATGTCGCTTGCAAAAGTACACGATTCTTTCTTAATAAATCATTATATCGAAACTGCCATCAGTTGTGATATAAAAGAAATAGGGGAATCATCACTTGAAGCCATATCATACTCAATACCACGTGAGGCATTCGAACAATTCATTCCAAACTTGAAATTATTTTATACTTCTCATCCTATCACAGAAAACACGACAAAAATTATTGCTTACATCATAGAAACCGTTCCAACCGCCAAACTCGCTTATGAATTTTCAAAAGGAACTACATACGAAAATTTATGCAATATTGAAATTGCTAAGCGTTGTTTCAACGAGAAAGATTATGAAACATTGAAGAATATTGCTGATAAAGAAGAAGTAGCCATGATTATCATCATTGAAGCCGGTTCTGAAAAATTTATCGAAATTGGAAAACCTTTTGCAAGAGGAAGCGTTCTTACTATTGAATTCCTAAGAAGAATCACTCCTAACATCAAAGTAGAGACAGTTCGAAGGTTTTTAGAAGCAGAAATCGAAGATATGAAAATAGAAATTTACGAAACGCTCAAAGCAACGATAATGAAAGGTGATTTCCCTGCAGATTATTTTGCAAAGCTATTTGCACCACCATTCAAGTTCCAATCGACTGATTTTTTGATGTATGTTGTATCTCATGGCTACAGGATGGGAGTTAGCAGAGAAACGCTGATAGGATATATCAGAGTCTCTAAGATGCTTCCTCCTTCAGTACGAGCAGCTGCAATGGGTTTAGTTATGCACATTGACGAATTAATCTTTTATATCCTTGGATTGAGCGACCAACTCTCGAGGATGTTCCTCATAAATAAAATTGACAAAGCGTTTCCTAAGGAATATATCCCTAAAATCCTTGAAAAATGTGAAACATCAAAAGAAATTCAGGCTTTATTCAACGCAGTTGTTGTTTTTGAAGATAATTCATTAGCAGGACAAGTTCTAGATAAGCTGCTTGAGAAGGATAGTGATATTGAAACAAATGAAGGTTTAATTAATTTTTATTTTGTAAATATCATTAATACTATATACGGCGCGAGCGAGGAAAGGCTTCCTGTAAGCCAAACAACGATAGAGGCCATATTCCAACACGTCCTAAACGCTGTAAAAACTGCAATTGAGTTTCCTTTCCCATTAACAACGCCAAAGAAGATGAAACACTGGAAGAAGATTGTTTCATATGGCCCGAAGATAGATAATCTTTATTTTATTCATCCAAAAATCACAGAAATTATTGAATTAATTGAAAAATTAACTTCACTATAACAATATTATTTGAAAAATATATATATTTTATACTTTTATGTTTAAATGTTTGTTCTTTAGTTCTTCATCTAGTACTATTTTTTTAACACCAACATATTTTTATTCATAACGTTAAATTACAGAAATGAGTATGCATTTGAATGATCATGTATTGCCCTAAATAAGTACGTATTCATATCATTCCCAAATAACTGCTTTTTCACTTTCGCGTTTCAAAAATAATCATAAAACTGAGATTCTTTCGGAATCCTGTTATACTCAACCAAGATCTTCATATTCTTATGCATCCTTTCATCTGAGTTAGATTCCAAGAACATATTGGCAACCTTAGAACAAAGGTTTTACATACTAAAGAATCTTGTCAGAAAGTCTTCTCCTTTATTGTGGACAATATATGCCATAATCGCTTCTTCTAATATGAATTCTGAATAGTATGTCACAGATACAGTTGGTGCAAAGAAGAATCCTTTCATCTTCATGAAGATACTTGAGATTTATCCATTTCTATGGATTCGCATCCAAAACTTTCATAATTTTTTATACATCCTGAAGTTGTTTTATCTAGATAAATATCGTTTTCATTCCATATTGCTGTTGTCCATAAGTGACTGTTCAATTGTTTATTCATAGTAAGTTTCAATTCAATTTCTAAATTCATTATATAAGATAAGCAAAATAGATTCAAAAGAAATATTTAATGAGCTGTATAAGATAAATAAATATAAAACATTTATTTAAGTGCTCTTTCTCTGAGCTTCTTTGCTGCATCACCTTGAGAAATGGCAACAGCATTGTAAACGAAGGCTGGTATCTTTCCAAGTGGATCACAATGGACAAGGAATGTAAATTTGCATGCATTTTTGTCGGATTCGTCGTGTTCAAGGATATCTGCTTGAAAAGTCATGTATCCACGAACGTTTGGAGGAACAACATCTTTCATCTTCTCGTTTAATGGTGTGCAGTGAAGCCAGACATCTTTTCCTTCAACTTCGTAGTGTCTTCTCAGAGCTAAGAATTCTCTATCAGCAACAAGACTTGTTCCTGATGAATATGAGCAGTACATGTATTCGCTATCATGTCCATCATCAACATGATCGAAGACATACATTGCTTTTGTATCATCGCCTTTTGGTGCTGGATGTTCCTTGTCAACAATTTCTGCTTTCATGAGTAAGCCGCGAACCTTCTCATATGGAGCTTGGATTGTAACAACTGACTTTACCATGCTGAATGAATTGTTTTCATAATTTGCAGTGTAGTATTTTACGCCTTTATCGTCTTTTGAGAGCTTCCACTGATCGCCATTATATAATTTAAGTACTTCTTGAAGGCGCTTCTCGTGAGCTTCAATTTCATTTGCTGGAATTGACATTATCAAAGTGAAATTGTCACCTTTTATCTTAATTTTTTCATCTACAACCGCTTAGGAGTAGGGGTAATTTTAGCTAAAAGTGACACAGTTGTAAAAGTGACACACCCGTGAAGGGTGTGATTACCGATCGGTAATTTCGACAGTTTAGAATTTAAAATTTTTTATGGAACTGTTGCGAGTTTCATAAAGAATTTAAGGAATATAAGCAAAGATTTGAATCAAAATCTTAGACCTAAGCCGCTCGATTCGCTCGCGGCTTCCGCGAATTACAGATCAGCAAAGATTTGAATCAAAATCTTCGAACTAAGCCGATCGCTTCGCTCGCGGCTTTCTTTATTATTTTAAATTTGCATATTTCCATCAAAAGTTCATAAGGTAAAAAATTTCGTTTATTTTTACTAAGAAAAAAAAGGTTTTTGATAATAAATTTATTTTATTTCGAAAAAGTAGCAATAATCGTAAAAGGGTATTGATAGGCTTGCTAAAGTAACTAATTTTAGCTGTCAAATACTTTTGTATTTTGAAGTAAATTAGTATAAATTTGTTTTTACTTTTATTTCGAAAAAGTAGCAATAATCGCAAAAGGATATTGATAGGCTTGCTAAAGTAACTAATTTTAGCTGTCAAATACTTTTGTATTTTGAAGTAAATTAGTATAAATTTGTTTTTACTTTTATTTCGAAAAAGTAGCAATAATCGTAAAAGGATATTGATAGGCTTGCTAAAGTAACTAATTTTAGCTGTCAAATACTTTTGTATTTTGAAGTAAATTAGTATAAATTTGTTTTTACTTTTATTTCGAAAAAGTAGCAATAATCGTAAAAGGATATTGATAGGCTTGCTAAAGTAACTAATTTTAGCTGTCAAATACTTTTGTATTTTGAAGTAAATTAGTATAAATTTGTTTTTACTTTTATTTCGAAAAAGTAGCAATAATCGTAAAAGGGTATTGATAGGCTTGCTAAAGTAACTAATTTTAGCTGTCAAATACTTTTGTATTTTGAAGTAAATTAGTATAAATTTGTTTTTACTTTTATTTCGAAAAAGTAGCAATAATCGCAAAAGGATATTGATAGGCTTGCTAAAGTAACTAATTTTAGCTGTCAAATACTTTTGTATTTTGAAGTAAATTAGTATAAATTTGATATTATTTTAACTCCCTTTGAAAACCTCAATTTTCCATACAGAGGGAACGGGAATAGCATCCAATATTCCCTGAGAATGGTTGCGCATTCTCAGTTCCCTCTATATTTCGAACGAAGCTCTCATCGGTCTTTTTTTTTAATACTAAACGTTTTTTTTTCCTGTCACTTTTAGCTAAAATTTGGGTTTGCCAATCGCAATGCCACTTTTGAAATTCATGAATTTAGGAAAATTTGTATGCATCTCAAGGCTAAATTTAAAGAAAAATTGAATTTGAGATTTTGAATTCACGAATTGAATGGAAGATTAGCCATGTAAATATTACTTGTTCCCATATATTACAAACTTAAAAGCATCCTACATTTTTCCTTTTTCAGATTTTTGTCAATTTATCGATTTTTAATGATTCTTCAAGATTGTCACTGTAAAATTGAAATTCAGAAATACTTTTCTATCAACTGGGCAAACTTGACAAATCATTAAAATGCATACAAACTCGATTCAAGATTGAGAAATGCGAGAAACTACTGTTGGTATAACTATTTTGGCACTAAATCGAAAGTTATTCAAACTAGAGATGGAACATCATTCTCTAATACAATTGGTTCTAGCAATTATTACGTTTTTGTTTGCACTTTTGAAGAATGTAAAGAAAAAGGTGCAATTTATATCCAAAGATCTAACGAAATCTGCGTATTACTTGAAGACAACACATTTACTAGATGCAAATCCACTACAGATGGTGGTTCTGTTTGCTATAACTGTCGTGAGTCCGGTCAGTTTGTCCAGCAACGAAATTCTTATATAGAATCGATATCAGCATATCGATGCATGTCATTTTTTCAATTGTCGAGTCCTTCTTCTACTAGTAAAAACTACGCTTTTCAAGTTTCAGTTACAAAATGCGGAGAAAGTGAATCAAATGGATATTATACATTTCATATTGCATGGGGTGATCTTCGTTTTGAAAATAACAACATCACTTACAACAAATGCATTCAACATTCATCAATGTACAGTCTACCGCAAGGAAATTCAGGTTACTGTAATTTCTCCACATTCAGAGAAAACAACCAAACTGGAAGTGAATCTCTTAGATTTAGCATTAATTTGGGTAACTTGATACAAACAGTTTCTTATTGCAATGTTATTGGAAATAAATGCGGAACTAACAGTGACCAAGTTCTATTTGGCTGTAGTAACAGTGCTAATGTGGATCACTGCGTATTTTTAAATAACACTGCAGGCTGTGTGTTTTATATTCAGTATTCAGGTTACACATTAACTATTTCTGATTCATATTTTGATTCCATTTCAAAATCAGGCTCCGGAACTATTACATTTAAAAACGAAATACATAATTCTGATCTGATACAAAATTCCAATTTTTATTCAGAAATTTGTTTAATGGAACCAAATCAAATCACTCTTATATTACCTTATATGTCTAAATTTGCAGAAACTTCATCTAAAAATTTTTAATAAAATCTAAATTATAGTGTAATTCTTGAGACTCCAATTTTTACAATATCCTAAGGTTGAAAATATAATAATTAAATTTAAGTGTAGCAGCTTAAGGGTTCACTTACGCCCCTATGACCCAGCCTTCAATTCAGATGTTTAAGGTTAATTTTTAATGACGCTTCACGCCAGTTGTCAAAAAAAAATGAATTAAAGTCAGATGGGCGTAAGTGCAGCCTTAAATCCTTATTATATTTAATTATTATATTTCCTAAAACAAAGTGAGATATAATATATTTGAACAACTTCAAATAGTCTCTTCTTTTAATAAAGCATCGCGAAGATATTGTAACAATTTTCTTTTGACTTTAATAATCTTCTATATTTAAAGGGACATTTTGCCGTGAGCATAATAAAAAGATGCCTTATAAGAGAACAATTTTTATAATAACAAACATATAATAAATACAAAATACTAAGATCTATTTTGATTCTTTGTTAAGTGATTTCTCCAATCTGTGTCTTTTATCACCAAATCTCCATGCGCTATCCCAGAACATCTTTCTTTCATCTCTCAATGGCAATGCGTAAATTAAAGGAGAAATCAGCCAATAGAAATAAACTAATAAAGCAATTGATAAAACAATAACAATTCCTTTTGTTTTTGGAGGGAGATAAATATCCAAAAAAGCACCATAACCAACAATACCAATCATCAAAGGAATACAATAATGGTACAAATATAATGTTCTTGGAATTAAATAGAAAGGGAAATAAGAGAAAGAATATCCAACAGCAATGAATAGAGCTTCCCATTTCTGTGGTTTCTTGAATGCAAAACAACATGAAAGATACCCAATGAAAGCGAAGTAATAACAGAAAATATTTCCAAGACAATGAAGTTCTCTTCCGCAATTGTGATAAAAGAAAACTCCAACACCTGTCATTAAGGGCCAATTATCAGGATGACTCTGGGATTCGTGGAAATAGCCAAGTCGCATGTTTCCACGATGTGTAATATATATATATAACAAAGTTCGAATTAATAGATTTGGTGGATCAATTCGGGGTCGAAGTAATGAGCTATTTCCTTTCTTAACAAGAAAAGAAGTCACTTCAATATGAGTAAATGGTGTTGATGGCCCGATAAAAGGTAAAGCAAGGAAATGAAAAATATATGTGGACCAAAACACCAAAAAATTAATTAAAAATAGGGTTGACCCATAAAATAGTACTTGGCGAATGTAATGATCCATTGAAACTTCAGCTTCAGGCCAAAGAAGTTTCAAATAAACAAAAGCATCAAGCATCATCAATCCCCATGCTGTATTTTTGATTGCGCAAGCTAGTCCAAGCGTAATTCCTGTAAGTGCATGCCAAACCCAGAACTTAAAGTCTCTTCTCTTTAAAGAGCGTAAATATAATAAAACAGTAACGTGAAGTATTGAGAAAAAGTGTAGAATTCCATCTGTGAGAATGTGCCTACCTTCAGCAATTAAAGTTGTCTCGAAAGTGGCAGCGATTCCCGATGTAAAAGCGGCAGATTTAGAAAAACCTAAAAATCTTACGCATAAGTAGCATAAAGGAGGAACGAAAGAAGAAAATAATCCTGGTGTTAATCTTAGCATTGTATATTCTGGGCTCGTATATGGTGTCTTTCCACTGAAACTAAGATGCCCATCATATTCTCCTGCTTCTGCGATCTTGTACATAAGTAATTTCGCGAATGGTGGATGTATGTCTTGATAAAATTCGTGTTCTATGTAATCGTTAGTAAAATTTCCGAAATAAGTTTCGTCAAATACAATAGAATTAGGATGATGAACAGATCTAACTCTTACCGATATTGATAATATCGTAATTATCATTATCAATATAATGTCACCCAGAAGGAGTTCGATATTAGAATCCTTGATAGCGAACTCCATCAATAAATATGAATTTAAAGAGCACGTTCAAACTTGAAACAAAGTATTTATCTAAAGTATATCTGAAAGCATCATCAAAAATGAGAATAAAATCAAAATTATATCATATGAAAAGATATTTTAATTACAAATGTGAAAATAAGTATTAGTTGGATTGCATAACATTGCAGAATTCGACAAATGATATTTTTCCATCACGGTCTCTATCTCCTTCGTTAATTAATCTTCTGAGGTTTTCACTGCTTGTATCATAGCCAAGTGTCTGTAATATTGGTCCCAAATCGTTTTTAGTTATAAATCCGTCACCATTCTTGTCAAATAAGGTGAAAGCGGCTCTTAATTCGTCAGTTAAGTCATTTTGTCTAAGTTGGCGCGATAATAAGGCCATAAACTCTGTAAAATCTACTTCGTCATTACCGTCTGCATCTGCATGGCGAATCATATCCTTTAATTCAGCGTGTATTAATTCCTTGCCGAATGACTTCATTAATTCGTGCAAATCATCAATAGTAATAACGCCATCCTTGTTTCTGTCAATAATATCGAATGCTTGTTTGAATTCTGAGACTTGTTCTGGAGATAATGATTCACTCATGATTTTTTTATATACAATAAAAAGTGACAAAATGTAAATCAAAATTTTATCAAAAAAATGGCAGAAAATCTCGAAGATGTTGAAGCACCATCATATTTAGAAGATTACATGATAATCCAAGACATACTTTCATCATTAGATCAGAAAAACATTGATGATTCCGCAGAGCAAATTATAGATTTACCTTTTTCTTCAACATCTGATGGATTAGACTTCTTATGTAAGGAAATTATTAGATTTTCAACTCTGAGACCTAAAATTTCTGATCCATTATCGAAGTTTGTATTAAAAATTAACAGTGATCCAAGATTTTTGAAGTTTAAACCATTGCTTTTGAAGAAGCATACAACTACTAAGAATTTTAATATTCTCAGACACTGCTTGGACTTGGGAATGTACAACGGAAATGATATTAAAGATCTAATTACAATTTATAATCCTTATGCGCGTGATGATAGATTCCTACTATACGCAACTTTCGCTCCTGAAATAGAAAAAGTTGATCCAAATCTAAGTTATGAATTCTTTATCATAATTAGCGCTCAAAATTCATGTCCAGGACTTCATTACGTATTACCACACTTATCCGACTATCTAAAGGACGATGCAAAACGTCTTAAAGCACTTAACAAGTACGGATGCGAGCCAGGTTCTGTTGCTTATGCATTGAAATACGATGACCTTGACGGGCTTATGGATTTCGTCGCAAAACAACATTTCAGCATCAGCGATACAATTACGCCTAACAATTTCGAGCCTGCAATGATGGTAGAAGGCTCTCATTTTATAGATTACGCTGCTTTCTTCGGAAGCGCCGATATATTCAGACATTTATATACTCTAAATGCCAAACATAGTAATTACTCAAGATATGCTTTGGCAGGTGGAAATATCGAGATAATCAGACTTTGCGAAGATCTCATTAAGAAATATCCTACATCGTATGTTACGGCAGTTGAGTTCTTCCAGAGCAAGATTTTTGATTGGATTTTGACTTTTTTGCCATTATCGGAAGAAATTCAAAACCAATGCTTGTTTGAAGCCGCAAAAGTGTGCAACATCAGAGCACTTATCTTTTTTGCCAATAGAGTTCCAGATATCAATGCCTTAGACGTTGATCATAATAATGCTCTTCATTTCGCTGTCAAAGCTGGTTGTATCCCAGTTATTAAGTTCTTATTGGATAAGGGATGCAATCCAACAGTTAAGAACTCTTCTCAAATGCTTCCTAAACAGTTTACAAGAGATATGCAAATCCTCAGGATTCTTGAAGAAGCAGAGGAGAAAATGTAGTCATTTAAAATAGTTTTATGCGTTTAAATCATTATGTATACTTTAATTTAGTTTTTTATTAAGAAAGATATACTTCAAAAGATAGTGATTTAGACTCCTCTTTGAGGATTTTATAAACTAGCTAGAAGCATTTCCAAATATATAGCTTGAAATTAATTTGGGATTAGAATCTCAAAAATAAACAAAATCTAACTGATCCTGTAACTGATTGATTGGAGTTCAATTATTCATTCATGGAGTTAGTGTATTTAATACATGGCACGATGGGCGCTACTTTTTTGGCGCCAGCGGCGCCGCCCGCGCCTCCGGTGGCTCCCACTGGTGGGGAGGAGACGATAGAAAAAGATATAAATTTTACTAAAAAAATTGAATTTTGGAAATTCTTTTGATTTTTTTGAATGATTTACGAAGAGATTGAACACATTTTGTACTATGAAATATCGTTATTAATAAATTTACTTCTTAAACATCTATTAAAATCGCAATTTTGAATATTTTTATGATTTTTTTTGACCCGATCACTTGCGCCCGCGCCCACTGGGAGGGGCGCTTGTAAAGTATTCAAAAATCAATGTAAACATTTCAATTTTTGCTCCCACCTCCCATTGGGAGGGGGGCATATATCTTGTAGCGTTCAAGTTCAAGTGATGAAAGTGCATAAGAAAGCTCCTTAATCATACCGATAGAAACAGCATTAGGGGCGCCAAATGGCGCTCGGTGACGTTTCCCATAAAAGCTTAATTTCAGGTATCCATAATCATAACCTGTCAGACGCAATAATTCATTAGCACACAATCATCGTTTCTCAATCAAGAAACGAAACGCACGATTGATTATGCTGGCCATTAAATTTTCATATCAAATAATTTACTACTTCAAGAAAAATTAAAGACTATCATCAACCAAAGCTTAAAATTCTCAGTGTTTACAACTCTCATACTTCGAATATGCATATTTCCAAAATAGCATGAAATTTTTTTTCATTTGAGCTCATTTTCTTTTGTTCTATTAACTAATACATGCAGTACAAGCTTGTTATACGTATACTTAATAAGTAAGGTCTTAAGGGAAATAATAAAAAAGAATTTTGCTATTAATTATATTAAACAATATTTATTTGTAATTTCGTGATAATTATATTTCTTATTACAAAGTAAAGGTATTTGATATAATGTTTGCCTTACAAAAATGTTTCCTTTGTCTTGCCACCATAGGTATTCTATTTTGTCACTTTTTGCGCCCGCCGTGCCATGTATACTATTGATTATTTTATGTATTTTGTATATTAAAATATCTATGAAATTTTTAAAATATATTCGGTCGCATCTCAATTATGAATATCTCCTATAATTAATAGAAGAATATGTTTCAACACAACCAGACGAAGGAATTAAAAAAAAAAAAAAAAAAAAAAAAAAAAGGTAGTGGGGCTTCCAGGCACTTCGTGCCTTCTAGCCCTGAGGATGAATGAGTATAAATGAAGTCTTGACAAAACATTTATGAAGAAGTCTTAACAAAGTCTTTATGAAGAAATCTCAACAAAACATTTACGATGAAGTCTTGACAAAGTCTTTATGAAGAAATCTCAACAAAACATTTACGATGAAGTCTTGACAAAGTCTTTACGAAGAAGTCTTGACAAAGTCTTTACGAAGAAGTCTTGACAAAGTCTTTACGAAGAAATCTCAACAAAGTCTTTACGATGAAATCTTAACAAAACATAGACAAGAAAGTTCATGAGTGTAAATGACCCAAAAATATATTTTAGGGTAGAAGGGTATATCTACCCCGTTTTCTACCCTCTTTTCTACCCTCTTGAATTTTCATGAAATTTACACCAAAAATATATTTTAGGGTAGAAGGGTATATCTACCCCGTTTTCTACCCTCTTTTCTACCCTCTTGAATTTTCATGAAATTTACACCAAAAATATACTACTAGGGTCATTTACGAAGAAATCTCAACAAAGTCTTTACGATGAAGTCTCAACAAAGTCTTTACGAAGAAATCTCAACAAAGTCTTTACGATGAAGTCTCAACAAAGTCTTTACGATGAAGTCTTGACAAAGTCTTTACGAAGAAGTCTCAACAAAGTCTTTACGAAGAAGTCTTGACAAAGTCTTTACGAAGAAATTCATGAAAATTCAAGAGGGTAGAAAAGAGGGTAGAAAACGGGGTAGATATACCCTTCTACCCTAAAATATATTTTTGGGTCATTTACACTCATTTACGAAGAAATCTCAACAAAGTCTTTACGAAGAAGTCACAATAAAACATCTGTCAAAAACCGCTTTTCTGTCACTTTTCAGGGTAAAAACATTTTTATTGTATATAAAATGAATTTTACAAAACCACCGTTACCCTTCTTTGGAAATAAGAGTAGATGTAAAGATATTCTATTGAGAGAACTTAAGAAACTACCGAATGGTCTAACATTTGTAGACTTGTTCGGTGGAAGTTTCTATATATCTCATTTGTGCCATACAATATTTCCTGACTCAAAGATTATATGCAATGACTTCGACAACTATATGAACCGTCTCAAACATATACCAGACACAAACAAAATATTGAAAGAGTTAAAAGAAAAGATACCTATAGGTAAGATGGAACGTATACCATTAGATAAGAAAAATACTGTCAGAGAGGTTTTGAAAAAGGCAGAGTATTGACTGGGATAGTATATCTGCTAGACTATTATATAGTGGTGCTATAAGAGTTCATGACATTGAAACACTTATGTCAAAAGTTTTATATCTTAACTATACAAATGTTTTCAAAGAGGACATAGAAAAATATATTGAGGGTATAGAGTTTGTGAGATGTCATTGGACAGAGTTGTATGAAAAATATAAAGACAAGGAAAATGTTTTCTTTATAGTGGACCCGCCGTTCTATAACACATGGGATTTTCAATACCAAGTAGACTGGACTTTGAGAGACTCTTTAGAAACTTTAGACGTTTTACATAACCATCCATGCTTTTACTTTACATCCGATAAAAGTGGTTTGGAAAGTGTCATGAGATGGTTAGAGGACATACATGACTATGAGTTTAGATACGATAAGATAGAATATGAGAGAGGTCCTATAAACTGGAGAAAGTGTCATAACAAAGAAATTTTACTAGTAAGTAAATGTGGTTTGAAATAGGACTACTTGTTTTAGGTTTTTTCCATTGTGTCATTTACTTATTTGACGTGGCAGAAAGATATAGAGAATATGAAGATGAACCAATGCCTGCAAATGTTCAGCATATGTACTCGTAAGAGATATTTTTATCTAATATTAAATGGACGCACAGAACTTAGCGAATGCACAGCAACCTGGACAACCAAACCCAGAGAATATTCCAAATGAAGTTAGAATACAAACTGCAATGGCAAACTATGGTCAAGTGCCAACAGATGTACAAATGCAAACTGCCATGTCAAATGACGCTGCGTTAGGTTTGCCACCATGGTATGCAAATATGAGATGGAAAGAGTTTTATACAAACCCCGAAGTGGGATATAAACAACTCTATGCAGATGACGCGAACACAGGAGTTGACCCAGAGTATGTTTTCTACCAGAGGAGAAATAGAATGTATGAGCTCCAGTTAAAGAATGCTATGGAACTCAGAAGGAAACGTAAGAGACTAGGTGGACATTAGATTTTTACATATAGTAAAATGGGTTTCTTTGGAAGAATAGGAAACTTCTTTCGAAATGTTGGAAGAGGTATATGGAATGGAATAAAAACCGTCGGAAGAGGAATTTGGAACGGAGTCAAAAATATTGGCAAAAGAGTAGGTCAGTTCGTTGGTATTATACCTAAAGACCCTGAACCAGAAGAGCAAGCTCCTGTTATACAACAGCCTGAACCTGCACCACAGTCTAGTTGGCAACCAAATCCAACACCTCAACCGTATTAAAAAATCATATTTTTACCGTTCGATAGTAGTTGTATATGAAACTAAGTTCTAAGTAAAACGCGTGGTATAATGGAATTATTCTCTTTCTTCCATCTGTAGTAAACCATACTTGAAAGTCTGAAATACTTCCACTTGGTGGTTCGTATAGCTTTGTAGGTTTTTCGTAAAAGTCATTTGCCAAGCATAAAAAAGAGTTTTGTGCGCCAGAAAATGAAGCATGAACAATAATAGCATCTGAGTCGAAAACATTTTCATATGTTCCATTAGGGTTTTCGACTTCATAATAGTCCGGGTGTACTGGATACCATGCAGGCTGATTTAACATCCTCATAAATCTATACCATGCCAAGTTGTTATATTTTGTAGAAATATAAACGTCTTCTCCAAGGTCTTCTATTCTATTGATTTTAACAGTTGCATTTTTCCTGTCATATATAATATCGAGATGGTACTCTCCTTCGTCAATGTTGTACTGTTTTGCATATTCGAGATAGATATCGTTTATTTTTTCTTGAAAAGCTTGAAGAGTTGTTTCTAAGTTTACAAGCAAACTAACTTGTAAAAGTTTTCCCTGTTCAAATTTCTCATACGTATGTTTTTCTTTGTTATAGTATCGAACTTCAAAAGCGACCGTAAATGGGAAACCATGTATGGCTTCTGAAATGAACTTCATTCTACGAAAGCCAATAGCTTTTGTGACGGATGGGTCTCTTAACCATCTAAGTGGGTAGTCAAAACGATAGCCTTCATGCTTTACGGTCTCTGTCTCAAACTTTTGACCGACATTCGTAAAAAGTTCATCTAATGGTTTAGTTGTAGCAACTCTTGAATTTTCTTTTTCTATTGAAAGCATATTTTATCTAGAATAAAAATGTCGAAAGAAACAGCGTCTATGAGAGAAATACAACACAACCGACAACTCATTATGCAAGCTCTAAATAAGAACACAACAAACTTTTCAAACTATTCTAAGATATCTGAGTCATTGAAAGAAGGAAACTTAAAACTGACGATAAACCCAATGACAGATGAGTTTCTGTTTCAAGACAGTAAGAACCATACTGTTTGTATAAATCCAACAAAA